CTTTACTTTTAAGTTTCTCCGGGCATCAATTTTTAATTGCTTTTAGATTCAAAACAGTGATTCAGAACAATTAGGAATCTGCCATAGGGTTTCGATCATTTGCTTGAATATTTCCCCGACCCTAACCCACCCTCACCGCTGTCAGCTTGAACGTAATAGATGTGGAAATGAGGCTGGCACCAAGTTTCTATTTTTTCTTTTTCTTTCTTTTTTTGGATTGTGAATAGTTTTCAAGTAAAAATTCAGAATGTCAAACTCGCCGATTATTATTCCAGCTGAGACTGCAGCCTCCAAGAAGTTAGTCACTTGTTACCTACTTATTCGTTTATTTCTTCAACAAGTAATTATTAGTAATTTACAGAGGAGACCCTGTGCCATGCATTATGTATGAAGGTGAATATTACTTCATAGTTATGGGAAGTCGGCATATTGATGGATAAAAAGCTGTTGCCAGTTATCCTGTGGAAGTGGGTCAGGGGTGCCTACTGACTGTGACCAGGGACCGTGGGAAGCCAGTCTTATCCGTTGGCTCTCTGCCCCTCGGCCTGTCCTACCCGGGACCTTTACAGTAGCTCGTTCTTGGTGACAAAATGCGATTCAACACGCCACTGTCTGAACAACTTACCTCCTAATAAAAATCATATTGTCTGAAAGCTATTAGTAGGAGACTGACTGTTTTAAAAATAGTTTCGAAACACGAGAAACTTCTGGGTCATGTGTTGATGGAGGTCGCCTGTCTCAAAATGTCGTGATTGGCCAAAGGTCAATCATTTCACGAAATAGTGTAGGCCGAGGAAATCGAATGCCATTACTGGAAAAGGTAATTGATCCAGGCCCCTCCTGTGGACTCATCAAGAATCAAATAGAGAGAATTGCCATTTGCCCATTATTTCAAAAATGTCAGTAGAAATAACGGAATTGTGTCTTCTGTCCCTGAATCTCCTTCTCGGCCTGGTCTGCCTCTCCCTCGCCCTGATCTGCCTCCACGCTTGGTGGGCAAAGACCGTGTCTATCCTGGTCTCACTCAAGTTAGACCGGGTGGTAAGAGCTCTCCAGCCTTTGAGTTTCGTTTTGCTCTTCATTCTAATTGCATTCTGGCATTTCTACTGTATTTCGTTTTCCTGGCCGGTTCATGACATTTCACCTACACAAGTATTTATCAAGCACTGGCGGTGGGCTTGAAAATAAGCAAATACAAAATTTAGCATAATTTTTGGACAGAAGTACTGTTTTCCAAGCTGGGTGTTTCCTTTTACATTTTAGGTCACTGACAATCTATGTCAAGGAAAGGAGAAACCTCGCTTCTGCAGAGCGTTTCTGATCTAACGCCCTTGTTTTACGTTTGAGAAACCTGAGTTCAGAGGAGATAAGCGAATGCCCAGCAGCGCGGTCCCCGGAGCCAGCTCTGCTCTGCGCCGCCCGCTGCCTCGCTCCGAGCGCGGGCAGACCAGGAGCTCAGGCGGATGCCAACGGGAGAGGTCCCCGTTTTTAGTGCAAACTAACTGAATTTCCGTGTTGAGCGTCCATTCCGCTGGGCCGTGGGAATTGTACCTCCGTCAGCTCTGGGTCACTTTGCTCCACTCCGGGCTGCGGGTCAGTCCCCGGCCAGACTGCGTGCAGAACCCTCTAGAAAGGAGGGCGTCCCCTCCTCCGGGTCCGCGCTCCATGGCGCACCTGCGCTGCCGTCTTCCGTTTGGCCCGGTTGCGGTCACTAGTCCCGGGAGGCCCCTGCGTCTCCCTCTTCCTGTCCACCGGCTCCCTGTGCCACGTAGGGCGCCCTGAGTGTTCCCAGACCTTCTCGCAGGGTGACGCTGCCCGTGACGCTGCCTCGGCCCTCCTGCCGCGCCCAGCGAGCGCGTGTCTGTGCGTCCGTCTCGGTGCCCGAGGTCAGCGTCTCTGCCTGGACATCGTCACGGAGCCTCCGCTTGTCAGTTCCGCCACACGGGCCTGGAGCGGGGGCAGCGCAGGGCAGACGGCCTCCCCGGGAAAGGCGACATCTGGCCCCAGGCTTTCTTCACCGCCCCTTTGTTTCCCTCCTTTCCTCCAGGGCGTCTCCTCAGCTGGCCGCTGGGAGGCTTAGCCCTTACTGAGTTGTAGTTTTCTAAGGCTTTTCTCTTACCTGGGTCCAGGCGCCTGAGTTTCAAAAATCAAGAATCTGGCCTCACGTTAGGGTTCCCTGGGGAAGCAGAACCAACAGCATGTGTCTTTACGTGGAAGGGATTCCATGTAAGGAGCTGGCTCGTGCAGTTATGGAGGGCAGGGCGTCCAGCAGCTGCAGGGTGGGCTCACAGGCCGGGGTCCCAGGGGTGCAGTTCAAGTGCAAAGGCCATCTGCTAGAGAAGTCCCAGTCGCTTGCGGAAGTTCAGTTTTTTTCTGTTTGGTCTTCAACGGATAGGGTGAGGCCCACCACATTAGGAAGGGCAATGTGTTTTATTCACACATCACCAATTAAATATTAACTCCATCCAAAAACACTGTCACCGAAACATCCGGAATAATGTTTGACAACATATCTGGGCGCTGTGAACCAGCCAGGGTGGCACGTAAAGCTAACAGTCGCAGCCCCGTCCCGTCTGTGGCCTGTCTTGTCATTGCTTCTCCAAGACGTAGTAGCCCAGAAGTAGAGCTGTCATGGCAAGTGCCGTGGGTAGAAGCAGACGGGGACACTGAATCATGTTTCCAAAACACGCACCACGCACGATTCTGGCACTGATCATTTATTTTGACTATCATTAATGGAACTTATCGACATGCTGCTTCATGGGCACATTTTCATTTTTGCAGGTGTTTATCTTTGTTCTTCCAAAAAAATAAATAAATAATGCTTCTTGAAAGCAGGCACTGATTTCTCTCCCATTGATTACAGCGTTTTGTGCAAATAGACAATTAATAAATAACATTAATTGAAAAAAATTTGTTTTGAAACCAGAAGGTACAGCGGTATCTATTTAAGTGACAACTATGCAATTTTCAAGTCATATTTAGCACTAAGAAAATATTTGAAGTATAACTACTTTCACTTGATTTTTTTTTATTTTCTTGGGAGATATATATATATATTTTTGTCTTTATGAAAAATCGAAGACAACTATTCTGGTAAAAGTTGTAGACAGACTTTTTCAAAATGAGCGATGGTTTTTGCTCCAAACAGCAGGATATTTTTTCTTGAGTGTTGTCTCTGTTCTTAATCTTTAAAGTAGATTTTCCCTGGGTGATTGTTGAAAGCAGCAAAGTAACGCTTACGTCTCCCTTTGAATTGCTGGGAGACCACAGAGGCTCACAGAATGAATGCCACCTGGTGCATCCTACATTCTGTGAAGCAGCGATCAAGCTGGGCTCAGTGAACGAAAAGTGGCATATCCTTAATTACCACAAAATGATACCTAATTATCTGCATGCCAGCTCAATGTAGCACTGAGCATAGCCAGGATGGCGTTTGATTTTGATGTGTCTTATGTAAGACAACCTTTCAGAACTGGAATGATTCCAGGGACTTCACAGCCTGCATCGTCACGGCTGCTGCTGGCATGCGTGTTGTCAATGTGGATGGCCACGTATGGCCTCTGGTGTCTAATGCTTTTCTAAGCTTAGTAGGACAAAAGAGCTTTCGGGTTAACACTGAAATTCCAGGAGCAATCATTTTACTGTGTGCTTAAACGTGCTCTTGATATCTCTAAAAGCCAGAAAAGAACACATTTCATTGTCATCCAAGTGGAAACCGCAGTAATTATGTCATAGTAGATGTAATCTGTGAACTTTGCTTGATCTCTAGATGAAGCTGTGGTAGTTCTGGAAGCCTCAATCAGTGTTTTAGAGTGTTCTTCTTGTTATGAGACTAGCTGTGACTGGTCTTCAGTCTTTTACAGCAAAAGATTTAAAACAAAATTTAGCTTTAACTGCCTTCAATAGTGAGAACACATCAGTCACATAATCGAGTGTTATTTTCAGTTTATGCTATTTCCTACTCATTTGTTTATTCTACAGTTATTTATTGAGTGCTTTCTGTATGCCAAACTGTCCACAGTAGAATTAACCTATAGTTTAAAATAATAGAATAATTTAGATTTTTTCTCAGAGCTGTTATTTTTATGGCAAAACATTTTTTAAAACAAGATTTTATTTTAAAATTTTCCAGTATTATTAATTTTTAATAAAACTATTAAAACAGCCCCAGTTGCTCATTGGGTATGGTTATAATTTCCATTTTTGTAATAAAATTATTTGATTTTGTACTCAGACTCACTAGAGGGACTAGATTGGACTATGTCTAGAATTAATTTAATATGACAAAGGTATCAGAGGAAAGAATAATTCAGTGTCACCTGTCAGGCCTACTGACGAGTCACGTGACGTAGGACCGCCCTCACATTCCTGCACCACGCCGTGGCCTCCGTCAGGACTTATTCCTCCGATAAGGATGTGCCATGTCTGCTGACATCTCATCCGGATGTATCACATTTGTCTTCATAGGGTAGTGGGAGTCTGCTGCATACACACAAACATTGAGCCTTGCAACTCTTTATTATGTATTAGAAATCATTTGAAATGTCATCAGACTTACCTCAAAGGCTGAATTTAGCAGTTCTACCAAGGCGGGAGTCGCGATAACTAACGTTTACTAAATGCTTACTTTGTGTCACTTACTCTTTGATCTGCTGTGTATGTATTAACTCATTTAAATCCCGTGGCATTTCTGTGAAAGAGAAACTATCCTCATCTCCCTGAGGCCCCAAAATGCAGACACGACCTGGCTCACGGACGTGACCAGTGGAGCCAGGATTGGAACTCGGCACTCGTCCCCAGAGGCTGTGCTGTGGCCGGCTCACCACGCCCCCACCTGGTGCTGGGGACACAGACCCAGGATGGTCTGTGCAAAGACGGCTCTGACATAATCATGTCAGTGCTTACGGCCGGGATTGCGGGGGCTAACTGTGTTTAGCCATCTAAAAACTTTTAAAATGTTACCAAAGTAATACTTTGTTTTTTTCCCACCTTTTCAGCAATCTCGACACAGAAGAACTATGTGGTAAGTTTCTTTAAAACCGATCAAACCCGTTACTTGCTTTAGAATGAAAAAGAACGCTGTCGTCTGTTTCCGCAAACCGCGAAACAGCGTCACAGATCAGGAGTCCTGGAATAAAATAACAGATCATCGCGAACTCAAGGGATTTCTTTATCAGTAAGTTTTGCCCCAGCATGTATTTCACTGTGGACAGAGTTGGGCCTCGTTAATTTGTTAACAGGAGAAGAATTCTCACTGAAGTTGGTGTAGTTTCACAAGAGCAAATTCTCTTGAATGTTTTTCTAAATTGGTGTTTGAGCGCAGCATTGTTCAGCTCTTCAGGACATGTCGTGCAGAGCCTTTGTTACTGTTTTGCAAAGCGGACCCCTCCACATGTGAAAACAACCTTGTCTCACACCTGCCTGGACCATCCTGGAGTTTTAAATGCCACTTGCAGAACAAGGGATTCATGGGGAAAGAAATCTTTACAAATTCCTAACTTAGTAGTCTCTTTATTTTCTTTATCTTTGTGGAAACAGAAGTAAAAGTCTAGGAATGTGGAAAGGGAAATATTTTTGAGGTTTATTCTTTGTTATGAAAAAATATGGAGAATTGTGAGATAATTCGAAACAGCCAAATTTCTCTGAAAACAAAGATTTTAAGTTTTCTGCTTTAAGATAAATGTGTAGGGTGACATCTTTGTCCAAGTTTGGTCTCATGTGGGAGGAACAAACTTTCCTCTACCCCCCTAGATTTTTTCAGCTGATCTAACAGTCAAATCTACATGAGAAAGATTAACAGGAAGAAATAACCAAATTTAAGTGCATATATACGTACCCCACACACCTGCGAGCTTCAGAAATAAAAAGAGGAAGTGAGGTGTATGTATGAGACAGTCAGAGCTAAGCGCCGAGAGGGGCACGTCCAGCCCGTGGAGCAGTCCGGCGACAGTGTGCAGAGCTGCACTCGGAGGCCGTGGTCGGACACAGCGCCCCGCAGACGGCGCCCCACAGAGTGGTAGTTTGCAGCTTGTTCTTCTCCTAGGAGTCAGGCGGACACGTAGGAAGGTGTGTGAGCTGGCGGTGGATGAGGGAGGCGGCGCGTGAGAACGTCTGGGCCTGGGCACAGGCTGAACGGGGACACTCGCTTCACGCGGTGGGCCCAGGAGAGTGAGCGTGAGCACTTCGCAGCGCGCACGGGTGGCGACGGGGCCCCTGTGGTCTCCTGCTCTGCGGTCTCCTGCTTGATTTATTGCTCTCCTGTGCTTTCTTCTCGGAAGTCTGCATATTTACTCATAAATGTCAGCGGTAGTTTCCATTTGTTATTAATATCGGTGTCAACAAGTAATTCTACCTAGAGTGCTAAATAATCAAAAAAGTTTCCCTCAAACATGCTGAAATTTATTGCAGTGATTTCAAGCAGCTCATATGTGGTTATACTCACCATGCAGTTTAATCCCATAACCACTATGACGCTAAGAGGGACAATAATAATAAGCTGCGGCTCATCCCAAAATGAGGTCGCGGGAACTGCACTGGCTACTGATTCTCTAGTGACAAAGTGCTAAGTCTTTTCGGTATATGAATTCATAGAAATTCCTCTTAGGTTGGGCTCGTTCACAGGTCCAGATTCACATTTTCATGTTTTTGGAGGAAAGAATATATCTTCAAGAATAATGATAACCATCCAGATTTTTTAAAATGGAATGAATGTATTGACACTTTAGTCTCACCTGGAAACCTTCCAGTGTTCATTTATTGCTGACATCTTACTTGTTTTACTCATTCATGGAATAAATAATTAGTTGATTCTTTTATTTTGTGATTACCTAATGTAAACATGAATTTTTAAAATATTTTTACTTTTCAGAATATTTTTCTCAGCACTTGGGCGAGTATGAAAATGTACTAGCAGCACTTGAAGACCTGAATCTCTCCATCCTGAAGGCGATGAGCAAGACAAAAAAAGTAAGGAAATGCTGATGTTTGTTTGCTATAGAATCTCTCCTCTGAAAATATTTTTCATGAAAGTCATACCTATTTTCGAATGTATCAAAAGTATACATTTGTTTTTATTACTGATTCTTTTTGTTCATATTAAATGAGCTGTTTTACTCATTCACAATACAGTTGGGCTTCATGGGGAGAAGGCCGAGCTAAGAGCTGTTCGAGCAGCTCTTCCCTGGCGGGGAAGCAGGTGTGTAAGCAGCAGCCCCCCGTGGGGGAGCTGGTGGCACATCTGCTTCCTGCTGGAGGACGTGAGCCCCCAGCGATTAGAGACAGAGCGAGAACCGGTCCCTGGAGAGGCCGGTGCGTGGGCCTGTGTCGGGAGGGGCAGAGGGCGCACAAGGACATCAGGGTGGCCAGCGAGGCGGAAGTCAGAGCCCCCGAGAGAGGGGTGAGGTGAGGGACCCTGGCGTGGTGGGGAGCGAGCGCACCTCCCATCACGCCGTTGACAGACCTGAGGCTTTGGGCCTGTGTCCTCAACGCAGGCCAGTCAGCCACCGGTTTAAGGAGAGCTTCGAAAACTCATGCAGCCCTTGGAAAAGACGATACCAGGGCTATCTCGGAGGTGGGGTGGAGGGCTCGGAAGGCGGAACCTGGAGGGTGAGGGAGGGGGCTAGTTCACGGATCCAGTGGTCGGGACGCATTGGCAGAAGCTATGGAGAAAAATAAATGAACGCAAATATGCCTGCGAGCCTGTCGCTGGAGCTCGGAGGACAGGGTGCGGGATGGGAGCAGGAAGCATCCAGGACCAACTCTGGTCTTTAGCACTGACCCTTAAAAATGTATTCGATCCATATAATCAGACCGCTTAATCAGGGATAAGGTCTGTGATTTAAAAAAACAGAAAGAAATGGTCAAAACGGGAAAGGCTCTTTGTGCGACAGCTCGGAGCTGAGTGGCACGCAGGCGTCCGGCGTTTTCGAGCCACACTGCCTAGCACAGCGACCCTGCTCAGAGCGTCCAGCGTGTCTTGTTAAGAGTCTCTCCACATTCTTACCCAGATGAAAGTCCTGTCTCAATGGGAAGGACCGACTGTTCCAGGCTTTCATGAGAAAACGAAATGCCAGCCCTTTGTGCTGTGTCTTCCCCGGCCATAGCTCTGTCTGCCGTTTCAGAAAACAGGCGCAGTGGGGTCTGACCGCTCAGCCTACACTCCGGTGGGGGCTCGGGACAGGCAGTCCCGACCGTCCGCCGTCCTCCTGCCCCCGCAGCCCCAACCCCCGGGTCCACTCGGGCCTCCTGGGTTATTGTGCTTCGCTTCTGTTTCCGGTCAGACGCCAAGTGGTCAGTGGCAACTGAAAGCGGCCGAAGCCCTCTGAATGTCTGACTTTGGGATTCCACAGAAAAAGTTGGGTTTGTCGACTGGTTCTTTCTTTCTCTGGGGTGATAAGCTAACGTCCCACGTCGTCAGCGTAGGACGTGCTTGTGACTTCAAGGCAAACACAGAACTGTCATGCTCAAGCGAATCCTCGCCGTGTACCGTGTGGCGCAAACATTGGCAGGATTCCCTCAGCCTCGTCGCTGAGGCTCGGAGGAGACAGCCGTGAGCTGAACAGCTAATCGCTCAGGGTGCCATGGTCGCCTTGCCAAGTGATGCTGGGGAAAGGTCCACGACTGTATCTCTATCGATCTATATTTCATGGTTTTCCTCTAAAAGTTATTTCTCAGACAAGCGCACCCTCCACCCATCGTTGCTGCTTTGGGAAGACAGCGGATGAGCCCTCGCGGCCGGCCGGCCTGCCTCCCTGCCTCCCGCCGCGCCGTCTCCCCGGAGCCTGCAGGCGACGTCTCTTCCGCTTCCCGTCCCTCCCGTTCCCTCACGGGGTGTCTGGGCCTCGCAGGACTCACTGTCCCTCTTGCTGGTCAAACCTCCCACTCTCCCGTGGATGCGAGGTCTGTCTGTGAAGAGCAAGAAGAAATGCCGCAGGCCTCAGAGCTCTAATTTGGGGAAAACATCGTGAATTCCCGCGGGTCCTGTGCTGTTACTATAACAACGACATAGGATTTATCGTTCCAAGCTCCCTCCGTTCCAGGCAAAATGCGGGAGCCGAAGAATGTGAGGAGCCCGCTTAGGCTCACGGCGGCCAAGTGCTTCATTCTTCCTGATAGTTTCATTAGAACCCTTTCGAGTCCCTGCTAAAAATCCAATGGAAATTAGCCTTGGGCTTCGGAGCAGCCACGGGAGAACGTGAGTGATCGTTTACGGAGCGTGTTTAGGGAGGACGACAGGGGGACCCCAGGCAGGTCTGAGCCGCAGCCCCCTCCGGCCTTGGCCAGACTCCTGCCCGGCACTGGCAGAGGGGACCCCGGGCCCGCGGGTGGCTGCTCCTCCGAGCTGTGGGGACACGGTCCTCCAGGGCGGGCCGGTTCTGCTGGCGGGGTCGGCAGACCCTGCGGGCTAAGCACACTGCTAACCACTTCGCGACGCAGTGTACGCGGTTTTGAATCGAGTCATTTCCGTTCAGCTGACGTTCCTCACAAGGGAGTCACAAAGGGCAAACGAGCCCGTCAAGCGTCCTGAGAACCCCTGGGCACTCTGTGAGCCCGGGGCAGCGCTGGTGTCCCTCCCGCCCGTCTGTCTGCAGCCACCAGGCCCTGAGCTGTCATAAAGTCCGTGGGATTTAGACCAGCCAGTCCTCATTTGAACTTGTTAATTTAAGGTTTATGTCGTCTCACATGGAACATGTTGCAAATAGGCAATTCTAAGTTGCATCGTGGTGCAAAAATTTCTGCTGTTAGATTCACTTGGTCTTTGAAACAGTTGAGCTCTTCAGAGTCCAGCTATGGATCAGCAAAGGCTGGACATTTCCAGCTTCCCTGGTAAAGTTGCTTTTAATTTTATTTCAGGCCAATGAACAAATAGGCGTCCAGAGCTTACTGCAATGTGTGAAGAACACATGAAAGAGATTATGGACAGAGGAGGTGATAGTAAATGCTGGACTAGTAAAAAATGCTGACATCAAAACATGGATGGTGCGTAAGCAAAGTATGAACAAGGGAAGTTCGTACAATTTAAAAACAGTCGACTGTTATCAAAGAAACCAAGGAGCTAGTTAGAAAGCAACGCAAGTTACAGGCCACGCCGAGCCAAGGATGCTGAGCTTTTCACTTATTAGGAGCGTGAAGTATTTGCAAAAGACACGCTGCTGTACGCGAGAGCACTAAGCACAACCCTCGGTGCCTTCTGAGGCTGGGGAGGTTTATCAAGGGTCAGAAGCCCCCAAATAGGAGCCCAGCTGATTTCCCCCGAATGGCCGTGTGACTGTCCCCGTGCTGTGCGCCCTCCCCTGAACCGCCACCTTTGTCCTTTGCTGGATCCACTCGGGCGCGTGTCCGCGTCCCTCCCCTTGGCGAGGCCTCACCGAGTGCCGGGACCACAGCTGCTCAGTCCTCGGATACGCGGGCGTCTGAAATGCGGAGTGCAGGTCTACCCCGACTGCCGGCTTTCCACACCGGCTCTTTGGCTTGTTTGTTTTACCATTTCTACATAGTTTCATAAGAGCTTTTTCTCCAACTCTGAGGGAAACTTCCATCGGAATACTTATTGGATTTGCATGAAACTTATAAAGTAATTTTAAGAGAATGGGAATACTCTGCCTTCCCATGAAGGGGCATACATATTTCCCCATTTATTCAAGCTTCCTTTTATGTCTCATTAAGTCGATTTATAGGTGATTTGACATTTTTGTCGCTTTTATAAATGGTCTGCCTCTCCATATTCCTAACTTAGGATTTGTGGAATATTGGGAAATGATGGGTTTTTGCACATAGATTCGGTTACTAGGTCAGTCATCTTGCTCTACCTGTGACGTGCCATTGGTCTTCCTCTGCTGACGTTACGGGCTCGAACATTGAGATCCAGCGCCACTTTCGGGAAGAATCGGCCCATCTCATCTGTCTTCCAGAAAAACTAACCCTTTCTGCTTCATCAGCGTTCTGACTCATCGGAACTTTGAAGCTATACTTTATGCCTATTGTTACATACGTTTTGAAATTCTACTTCAGTGCTTCAAGGTCATAATAAATTAGGACTCTACATTTTAAAATCTCATGTATTAAAGGAACGAGATAAATTTTTATAATACCAAATGCAACTTTTAAAAGGTTAAGTCACAAAATACTACAAATACAAACTTGTAAAACATTAACAGATCCTGTATATATTTTTACCAGAAGAGAAAAAAAACAGAACTAATAAAACAGTGTGAACACATAATGTATTTAATTAATTGCCAGTATATTGATATAGGCTGTGAATAACCTTGACATTCAAAAAAATATGAAAAAGCAGGGTCAGTATTAACAGAGCGGTCAGATGGAAGTTCAGGGAGGCGAGCTCCAAAGACGAGCTGGGCTTCAACAGAGAATGAGGGCAGAAGCGTCTGCCGACATGGCTCTCCTTTGACCTGTAAGCAGGCAGGCTGGGGGCCGGTTCTGCCAGAGGCTGCCATTCGTGTCCAGAGACGCGATGGCTTTTTGGCGGACGGGGTCAGGTTTGCCACGTTGCACCTTATTTACTGTTCTGTGAATGAGTGTACAAGTACCGGGCAGGGGTCTTGCCAATAATCTTGAGGCGAGAGGACTTAAAAAGAAACTCACCAGTTTCTAGAGCTGTGACAGAGGCCCCGGGTAAACCTCTTGGGTCCCTGTGAATACTACCTTTGTGTGAACACGGTCCACTCCCGGACAACCCCACAGGTCCTCCCAGCCCGAGCACCCCCACCCAGCCAGAGGTAAGGTAAGAAGACATTGTGCTTGGTGCCCATGTACCTGTGGTTTTGAATGGCTGTTTATGTCCTTCGCGAACTTCTTTCTAATGTATCTTTCTTAACTTGCTGGCTGGACCACGTATGTTCTCAACAGAAACTGGGAGTTAACTTTCTGCCTCGTGAAGTTGTGCGTCCAGCATCCACGCTTCGTTTAGACGGAAGGGCTGGCTTGCTCTGTGGAAGGGTGCGGCT